GTTGTTTGGCGGGTCCGGGCTGGGGATTCGAACCCGCCACCTTAGGTGTACATGGCTGGCGCCTTAGCCGGTTGAGCTATAGGCGCCGAGCCGACTTTACTTTTTACAAGATAAAATTGCAACACTGAAGCTCTTCAAATTCTTCTGTTTAAGATATTTCTTTCTCCAAAATCTCTAAACTAAAACGTTAGGTTTACTTTTTATGTATGAACACAATTTCAACTACAAAATTCAGTTCGGATCCCTGCGTATGGCAGATGACTGAGAAGCATGCTACAAGTCCTCTTGTTACTTCTCTTGCAACAGCCTACCTATAAAGTGAGCAAAAAAATTTTTGAAAAATAAAGTCCCTGGATGGTGCCTGTGGCTCAAAGGCGTAGGGCGTAGGCCCCACATGCTGGAGGTGGTGGGTTCAAACCCAGCCCTGGCCAAAAACTGCAAAAAAAAAAAAAAGGCCCTGATTGACCCTAATACATTTACTTTTAAAAACTTACAAAGTAGTCTTTGAAGTGACCTTGTTTTCCCAACACCTCCTAGTTTACCTTGGAAAGAACAAGGTATTCAAAGGAGGAGGGAATTTTACAGTAGGACACAGAAATAGATTATGCTGATTGGCTGGTCACAAATAATCTTGCATAGACTGTGTTCAGTAAAATGCTCTTAGATGATGAAGTTAAGATGACAGATTACTATAGAGGGCAATCTTTGAAGACAAATCAGGACATTGGAAAGAAAAAGTAGAAATTATATACCGAGGGTGGCGGGTTTGAACCTGGCCCCGGCTCTAGCTAAACTGCAACAAATAGCGGGATGTTGTGGTGGGCACCTGTAGTCCCAGCTATTCAGGAGACCGAGGCAAGAGAATCACCTAAGCCCAAGAACCAGAGGTTGCTGTGAGCTGTGATGCCACAGAACTCTACCGAGGGCGACAAAGTAAGACTTTGTCTCAAAAAACAACAACGACAAAATACATTCTTCATTTTGGCTTTTCTAAGAAGACAATAATGGTCAGTGCCAAAAGATTTTTCTTTTTTTCTTAGGCAGAGTCTCACTCTGCCACCCTTGGTAGAGTGCCGTATGTCATAGCTCATAGAAACCTCAAACTCTTGGGCTTAAGCGATTCTCTTGCCTCAGCCTCCCAAGTAGCCTCTAAGTAGAGAACTGAGATAGTAGTTTGATAATGTACTATAGGTGTCTGCCACAACGCCTGGCTATTTTTTGTTGCAGTTGTCGTCGTTTAGCTGGCCTGGGCTGGGTTTGAACCCGCCAGTCTAGGTATATGTGGCTTGTGCCCTAGCCACTGAGCTACAGGTACCAAGCCAAGATTTCTTATTTTAAAGTGAAAGTATATGAGCGCAAGTCTCCTCAAAAATATGTGTACCAATTTATAATTGATAAAATTTATTTTCCAGGGTGGGGTAGGGGTTCTATAATTCTAAAAGTAAAAATCCAGATCTAAGAATGGTTGAGCTTAAATTATTATCTGAACAGTTCCACTGATTTTTTATTTTAAAGGTTGACATGTTTTATTGAAAGATACCCAATTTCAGCTTTGAAGATATAGGTTCAAGGTCTACTCTTATTTATTCTACAAACTCTGCTGGTACAATGTTGATATTTTCAACAAAACCTTGGAAAGTTCTTCCAAAATGGACTTTTTCAACCTACTGAACACAACTCATGCCTACACTCTGATGTTCATTTCAGCAGCACTTGTCTCTGTGAAGTACATCAAAATCACTCAAACGTCAAATTGCTGATCTGATAGAATGATTTATTTTCCCATTACAGGAAAGTCATGAGTGACTTGTTCTGAGGTATGTTTTTGATTTATGAAGGATATCTATTAGAAAGCTCCACGCTTGAAGGTTTCTCTTCAGGTGATAACATTTTATGGCTGGACAGTCTCTGCAGGTACTAGATTCCCTGTTGTATCCAACTGCATACATTTACACGTGCATGCAGACACAGGGCATTCTGCATGGTCCCTAAAAAAGAGGTCAAATAAACAGTTAAAATCCAAATTATACATACATATGCTTATTCATCTACATCTTTTCATGTATCACCATGCTCAGCTTTTTATCTATACCTTATATCTATCTATAATGCACCTTTTTTTTTTTCGAGGCACAGTCTCAAGCTGTCGCCCTGGGTAGAGTGCCATGGTGCCACAGCTCACAGCAATCTCAAACTCTTGGGCTTAAACGATTCTCCTGCCTCAGCTTCCCAAGTAGCTGGGACTACAGGCACCTGCCACAATGCCCTGCTATTTTTTTTTTCTTTTGGTGCGGTTGTCGTTGTTTTAGCTGGCCGGGGCTGGGTTTGAACCTGCCAGCCTCAGGGTATGTGGCAGGTGCCCTACCCACTGAGCTATGGGCACTGCCTTATAATGTGACTTTTTAAAATATCATTTGGAAAATATAGGAATTAAAACCCAAGAAGAAAAAAGAATTAAATGTATTTAATTAGAAATGACTGCCAAGCTGAACTTGGAGGAGAAAGTTACTGAAAAAATGATAGCTTTGCCTTCTACATATATGGTAAGATATCTCATTTACAGTTGTAAATCGGGCAGGGATGTGCTCAGTCTTTAAATTAAAGCCAATGAGACAAATTAGGTATCAATGTTCTATCAATAAGAGTACAGGGCCACTGGTACTGTTCAAAATAAAAGTTAAGTATGGTCTTGACAGTCTCCATTCCATGCAGTGGCTCACCAGCTACATAACAAGCATACTTAGAAGAGAACTGAGATAGTAGTTTGATAATGTACTTTATCGTTTATAATTCAATTACATGACAAATTACATGATATTCAGTCAGTTAAAAAAAACTGTAAACATATCCTCTTCCCAAATAGAGTTAACTGATGCTACGTAAACATTTAACCCATACAAAATATTTAAACTTAGCTCAGTGCCTGTAGCTCAGTGGTAAGGGCATACCCTGGGCCTGGCAGGTTCAAACCCAGGCCTGCTAAACAATAGTGACAACCACAACAAAAAAATAGCTGGGTGTTGTGGCAGGCACCTGTAGTCCCAGCTATTCGGAAGGCTGAGGCAAGAGAATCATAAACCCAAGAGTCTGAAGTTGCTGTGCGCTATGACGCCACAGTACTCTACCAAGGGCGATAAAGTGAGATTCTGTCTCAAAAAAAAAAAAAAAAAAAAAAATATATATATATATATATGTATTTTAAAACTATTTCTTATATAGTTGAAGATTACATAAGATATCTAATGATAAAAAAGTGATAACACCATCTCTGTTAACTCATGCAATCACAAAAATAAAATTTATCATCTGGCTATGTGTTAATAGATAAACCCGAACTACTTAAGACCCTCTGTTTTAGCTCTTGTAACTCTAAGCTTGTTAAAGAAGGAATATGCTGATTACCTGAACCAACTAAGCATATGTCCAGCATGCCCACCGTGCCTGCAATTGTGACACCATGTAAACCAGTTGTTAAATTGAGCTAGCTTTTTGTCCTTGCTCAAATCCACTTTTTCATCGGATTTGGATCCTCCTATGGGAAAAGAAAATAATCTTCACAAATAACATCACAATATTTTATAATATTTTACTTTTGAGACAGAATCTCTTTCTGGCATCCAGGCTAGAGTGCAGTGGGGTTTATCATGCTCATTGCAACCTCAAATTCCTGGGCTTAAGTAATCCTCCTGTCTTGGCCACTTTAGTAGCTGGGACTATAGTGCCTGGCTGATTTTTTTTTTTAAATTTTATTTATTTGTTTTTAAAATTTTGGCTCATTTGATTTTTTAAACTTTAGATTAATGTGAGAGTACAAATGATTAGGTTACAGTGTTTGTATTTATTAGGTAGAGTCCCTGACATAGTTGTGTCCTGCTCACAGGAGGTATGCCATATACCCTTACATTGTGCCCATTTGGTGGGAGCACAGCAATCCTCCTTCCTCCTCTCTTCTCCCCCCCTCCTCCATCTTGAATTGAATTTAGTTTTTCTCTTAATGTGGGCATTTATCAAATTATCTACTGACTTCACATTAGTGTTGAGTACACTGGATACTTGCTTTTACAGTTACTATTCAATAAAAAAAAAAAAGATTTTTTAAAAAGAATTTACTAACAGGGTCTTTCTATGTTGCTCAGGCTTGTCTCAAACTCAGCCTCAAGCAGTCCTCCATCTTGGCCTCCCAATGTGCTAAGATTATATACTTGTGAGCCAGTGTGCCCAGCTGATACTTTATTTAAAGATCCTTAAAAGGCATTTCTAAAGCTATCTTCAAAATACAAACCACATGTCACATTGAAATGGAAATTTTGGGTGCTAGGATCTAATTTAGATGAAATAAATACTGAATGACAGGAGTTCCCCTACATTTTTAATTGCCAATACAAATGGAAAATTACGAATTTTCAAAACCCACAAAGAAACAATATGAATTTAAAATTTTAGAGAAACTGGCTCGGCGCCTGTGGCTCAAATGGCTAAGGCGCCAGCCACATACACCTAAGGTGGCGGGTTCAAATCCAGCCAGGGCCACCAAACAACAATGATGGCTGCAACCAAAAATAGCCAGGTGTTGTGGTGGGCACCTGTGGTCCCAGCTACTTGGGAGGCTGAGGCAGGAGACTTGCTTGAGCCCAGGAGTTGGAAGTTGCTGTGAGCTGTGATGTCACAGCACTCTACCCAGGGGGACAGCTTGAGGCTCTGTCTCAAAAAAAAAAAAAAATTTTAGAGAAACTAAATCAATAGTTTAAAATCTTTCTACAAGGAAAAAACCATGCCCAGTGTATAGGTTTCACCTAACATTGAAGGGGTAAGTAATCCCTGAAAAATGAATAGCTTTACCTTCTACATATATAGCAAGATATCTCATTTACAGCTGTAAACCCGACAGGGATGTGCCCAATGTTTTCCTACTTTTACTGTTTAAATAATGAACAAAAACACTGTTCTTTACTGAACAAAAAGGCAAGTTTAAGAATATACTCTGTCTGACTCATTTATACAGAATTTAAAGAGAAACCTTCCAGCGTGGAGATGTCCTTCATAAACCAAAAACAAATTCTTTCAAGAAACAGAAAAAGAGTAGAAATTTCCCAATGCATGTGAAGAGACTGGTATAAATTTGCTAATACAATCAGACAAAGATGAGAAGAGAAAGAGATATTAGAGGCCAATCGCCTTCCTGAACAGACACAAAAATACTAAGCAAAATATGAGCAAACAATCTTGCAATATCATAACCCTAAAATTTTTTTTTTTTTTTTT